CCATGGAGTGATTCGCCAAGATAAAGAAACAACAAAATTAAGAGTCGTGTTTGACGGTTCCGCGAAACTTGCAAAAGATGATCTGTCGTTAAATGATTGTCTCCAAAAGGGTCCAAATTTAGTTCCACATCTATTGGATACTGTTGTAAATTTCAGAGGTTATCCTATCGGACTTGTTGCTGATATCGAGAAAGCCTTCCATCAGATACAAATTGCTCCTGATGATAGGAAGATGTTGAAGTTTCTCTGGTTTGAAGATATTAATCAAGATCCCCCGACCCTCAAAGAATACGAGTTTCGACGTCGGCCATTTGGTCTAACCCCCAGTCCTGCTATCTTACCCAGCACCATATCTCATCATCTTTCAAGATACAAGGAAATTGAACCAGAGATAGTCTCATTGTTGCTCGAGTCTCTGTACGTTGATGATTTCGCCGGTGGAGCTTATGATGATGATGATGAAGCCTTACATATCTATCGCACATCTCACGATCTAATGGGCAAAGGTAGGTTAAAACTTCGAAAATGGCATTCGAATTCTGCCTCCATACGAGATTTCATCGCAACCCAAGAAGACGCAAATGGAAGTGTGAAAGACGCAGTAACGAACGCGAATTCAGAATCCACTTATCACAACGTCGATACCATGTTCATCATCGCAAAATTCTTCAGTATCGAAAAGCAATTGCGCTAAGATTCTCGGGATTAGTTGGAACGAGGACAGTGATGAATTTTGTTATGACCTCGGCGAATTAGTTGAATATGCGAAATCCCTTTCCGCAACTAAACGATCAGTGTTAAAGCTTTCCGCCAAAGTATTCGACCCCATTGGTCTTTTCTCTCCATTTACAGTTACCATGAAAATGTTGTTTCAGACACTGTGTACCACCAGCGTGAACTGGGATGACGAGTTAGATGGCAAAGCATTAACGGCTTGGAAATCTCTCGTAAAAGATTTACAAGCCCTGAGTGATATACGAGTACCACGATGTTATTTTCAACGTCTAAACGAACTGTTTCGAACACACGAGATTCACGGGTTTTGTGATGTGTCTGATCTTGCGTTTGCGGCAGTGGTGTATCTTCGCACAGCACACAGCAATGGAGATATTGAAGTGAATTTGATTGCATCCAAAACACGAGTTGCGCCTATCAAAAGACAGACTATACCACGATTTGAACTGTTAGGAGCAAATATATTAGCACGATTGGTCGATTCTATTATTCAAGCACTCACGTCGATTAAGGAAATTGCCGATGTTGTTTTATGGACGGACTCGTTCACCACATTATGCTGGATCCGAAACCATAAAGCATGGAAGACGTACGTCCAGAACCGAGTAAACGAAATCAGAGAGTTAGCAAGCAACTACGAATGGAGACATTGCCCGGGGGAATTAAATCCTGCTGATTTGCCTTCTCGGGGATGCTCGGGACGTGAACTCGCCGAAGCTGAAACGTGGTGGAATGGTCCAAAGTTTCTCAAGGAGTCTAAAGATCAATGGCCAGTTGATCCACAACCTACGAGTAAAGACAACGACGAAGCTTACAATGAAGTGATGAAAAACCCACATCCAATTGTACATTCCTTGTCTGGAATATCGTTAAATGGTTCTGTCCATATTGAGAGAATTCTCGATCCTCAGAGATACAACACGAAGACTAAGTTACTTCGCGTCACAGCATTAGTAATCCGATTTATAAAGAAGACTAGAAAACAACCGTGTACACTTTCACCTGAAGTAAACGCTGATGAATTAAAAGAATCCGAGAAATTATGGATCCGTATTCAGTCGACAGACTTTGCCGAGGAGATCGAATGTATTCACAATGGTTGTATGAACTCACGAGTTAACCAGCTTGGTTTATTTGTCGATGACGATACGATTATCCGTTGGGACGGTCGAATTGGCCACTCCACGATGCCTGACGATGCAAAGCAACCAATCCTTTTGCCCCCAAAGCAAGAATTTACCAGGTTAATCATTCGCGAAGCTCACGAGTTAGTACATCACGATGGAATTAGAGAAACTTTAAATTGCGTTCGAAGAAAATATTGGGTTCTACGTAGTCGAGAGAGTGTTAAAAGAATGGTAAGAAGATGCGTGACGTGTAAAAGGTTTGAGGCTAAACCCTTTGCTGCAGCTAAAGAACCAGCTTTACCGTCAAGTCGAGTCAACGATGAGCCACCATTTAGCAACACTGGTATTGACTTTGCTGGTCCCCTATACGCTATGGCGAATCGAGAATCGAAGAAAGTCTATATCTGTTTATTTACCTGCGCCTCTACTAGAGCCGTCCACCTGGAACTTGTCCCGTGTTTATCCGTATCTTCATTTCTTCAAGCCTTTCGACGCTTTGTTTCCCGAAGAGGTTTGCCATCACGATTAATAACGGACAATGCTAAGACTTTCAAGAGTGCATCCAAAGAAGCAAAGAACATCTTGCGATCTTCCGAAATTCAACGAGAAATGGCATCTAGAGGGGTGCAATGGGAATTCATCATAGAAAAGGCACCCTGGCAAGGAGGATTTTACGAACGAATGATACAGAGTACGAGGAGGTGTTTTAAAAAGATTCTTGGACGATCTTCTATGGACTTCGAGTCATAACGAACACTCTTAGTGGAAATCGAAACGACGATAAATAATAGACCACTTACGTATGTCTATGGCGATGAGGAAGGAGTGTCGTACCCCCTTACACATTCTCAACTAGTCTACGGTAGACAAATCTCATTAATGCCAAGTGATCGACAGTTGGATATTATCAGTACTAACCGATCATTGACCAGGAAAGCGAAGAATCAAAGGCGCTTACTGGACCAATTTACTAATCGCTGGAGAACGGAGTATCTATTAAGCTTTCGAGGGACATCGCGCGTTCTTCATGGAACAGAAAAGGAAACAATATATAGCCGTTGGTGACGTAGTTGTGTTGAAGAATGACTCAACTCCACGAATGTTTTGGAAGCTTGCACGAGTCAAGGAGCTTATTAAAAGTCAGGACGGTGTAATTCGGGCGGCAAAGATTTGCGTGGTAAATTCGGGAAAAGGGCGTGTGATTGAATTACGACGGCTTATACAACATTTAATTCCTCTGGAGCTGAAATTGAGTCCAGATACAGAAAACGATGTGTCTCCAGCTGTTGAAAGTGCACCGAAAGAAGAATCAACCAGACAGCGACCGAGACGAAGCTAATTGCGGCGGTAGTTGGAGAACTTTTACGAAAGGGGATGAGATAAGTTCATTATAATCGTATAGTTAAAGTATATTTGATCACTCTGGGGTGATCAACGCCGGGAGTGTGATAAACTGTGAGACATGAACAGAGTTTCAATAACATTTGTTGCGTTTACTTTGAGCCTGATTCCAGGCTGTTGAACCTGTTCGCAGGCTAAAGACGTGCGATTCGCTTTTATATTCTTTCGATCGAACGTGTATTATCTATATTATAATCGATTATTCGAGGATATTTCGTTACGAACTCAACGTTAGTTATGTTTAAGTCTTTTACCTTATTATTTAATAGTAAAGTTATATAATTTTAATGTTATCCGTACGTGTGTTAATTGAACGAACGTTAAGTATTGAGCGAGGAAATGCGATAAATATTATGCGACGTGCATAACAGCCGATGCAAACACGACTTTTAAGTAATAGAGTGAAATATATGATATCATTTGACCTCTCAAAGGTCATAAATCGCTATAATGTGACTAAAATGACTAAAACTATATCGTTAGGAGGCTATATTGTTTCCCTGAATCGAACGGAAGTACTCCTGTCTTCATAGCATGCGCCGAATCGCAGATATGAACCTGAAAAATTATATTACACTGGTGCAATATGTTAATAGGGACCGGTCGAGAAAATTAAATATGCTTGGCCGCGAAAGAATATTTTCTATGTCAAGACGCTACACGATTCCTGGAGCAGAAATTTGAACACTGATAACAAGAACATTTTTCAGTTATTGTCTGATTTTTACCACTTTTTGTTTAAAATATGTCCTTGTTAAAGCCAAATTTTAGGACATGATCCGATGCTCGGAACCCAGGAAATGGCATTTCCGGGGTTCAAATTTCAAACGTTTACGGACTTTTTTAGACAGAACACATAATTTTTCTATAAATTTATGTACTTTACATCATAGTTTTGCAGTTATTTTTGCATATATTACTTTTTTCTTGTGAAAACACCAAGTAAATTTATTACTCCAAAGCTTTCGATCCGTAAGCCCGGATCTTCAGCAGCACTGACGAAAGTAATAAATTTGCGTGTTTCCACAAACAAAAGTATTATATGTTTTATCGCCGCGCAATCACACAAAGAACTTAGTTTTACTTAGTTTCCTCTTCAAGTGTTTTTTATTGTTAAATATTGTTTATAAGCACTGAGAGGGCGGGATAGTTAGGAAAACGTGGCAAACTTCAAACGCAGATTTATTAATCATGCATACAATTCTTTCAACTTGACGGGTTTTTAGTGTGCAGACTATCTTTCTCGTGATGACTTTGATGCAATATTTAGCGTTTTGGAAGAGGACGAAGAATTCAGTTGGAATTCGAACAAGCAATTGCAGATGTAAGTAACAGAATGTTATTAATACGTTGTTTATGTAGTAACTTTTACTTCAATTATGTGCACGCGATTCAATTTATATATATATATATATTCACAATGTTTGATTTGACTAGCATCTTTCACGAGGGCAGACAGTACCCCAAAACTGGCGGATTTCGGCCTTCGTGAGAAAGGCTAATCATTACACGTTCGCAGTAAATTTGAAAAGAAAGTAATATTGCCATTGGAGGTAGCGTTCGAGTTATATTTAGTTCAAAATTTCAAGTTGCATATGAAAATTACAAATGCAATTCAAAGACAGAAGCACATGGGTACAATCTAAAATGTTGAAATCGTTATGCTGTATAGTAAATCTGGGGATCAAAAATTATAATAAGACTAGTTTTTAGAACTTTTTCTCTTCGTATAGCCTG